AATAATAATAATAATAATAATAATAATAATAATAATAATAATAATAATAATAATAATAAGCCTTATAATAATAATAATAATGCTCTGAGGCAAAGCCTTATGTGCAAGAAACATCAAAGCTCTCCAAAAATTTAACGTCAGTTTCCCTCCACTTAATGCCAGCAAAATGCTTGTATTCCTCCACCACATCACTCAAACACCACTTCTGCAATTTCCTTAAACAACCAACAAGACAACCAGTTCGATGTTTTCCACGTTTGCAGTGAATTAAAACTGGATGATTTCTAACATCAATGATTACTCTCAAAGCCTCAGTTATAATATCACTGCTAATCACCTCCTTAGTGCCGTCTATTCTGAACTGGAAAAGGTTTATATTGTTTATTCTAAGGAATTCAACGTTTGCTTTTGGATATGGTTCTGGACATAAGTATATGATAGAGCGTAGATTGAGTGAATTGAGAAAAGAGAAATTGGTTGGCTGAGGAAAACCAGACCTGTAAATGCAGTTATGTTCCACTGCATAAAAGTTTGTTGGTGGCAACAATATATGATCATCACAATCTTCTTCCAAATCCAAAACTAAACTCATCTTTCTTTTGTTTCTTTGTCAATCTCAATTAAGAATACAACTATGCTAAAAAGCCATTACCACTATCATCTATCGTCACCAGTTTCTTTCTTGAACCGAGGGTCTACCCGAAATAGTGTTTTCTCTGCCTTCCTATAAGTAGGAGTAAGATGTGTGTACACACTATCCTCCCATATCCAACTTGTGAAATTTCACTGGATTATTATTGTTGTATTTATCGTCACCAGTTTCAAAGGGAGTAATGAAGTGTTAAGAGTTTCTTTAACTTCGTTCTAATTAGGGAGCCGTGGAAGTTGCAATGAGGGATGTAGGGGGTGGGGGTAGGGGGGTTAGGGCAAAAAAAAAGGTATGATTAGTGGGAGTTTCTTTTAACTTCTTTCAATCAAGAAGGCGTGGAATTTGCAAGGAGGGATATAGGGTAGATTACTTTGAGAAATTGAGAAAGCAATATATATAGTTTGATTGTGGAAAATTGAATTCAATTAGGTTTATGATTGTGGTAACCAAGAAACTAAGTATTAACCTTCATATTTATATTAGTACAAAATCAGTTTGATTAGAAACTAAGAAAAATTTATTTTCGTATGATTTGGACTATAAAACCTATTTAGAGATGAAATAGAAAAACTGACAATTATCAAATCTTGAGTTTTAACCAATATTGTCCCTTATCTTTTAGGGTAGGTCTATTTTGGTCCTTCAAATATAATCCTGAGCATATTTAGTCCCTTAAGTATGCTAAAGTGGAGCATCTTTAGTCTCACTGACATAATATGTTCAAAAACTAACGGTGTTACCTAACTCTGATTCATGAAGCAAATCTTCTGCTCTGAAGCAAGAAGTTTCCTCTTCTTTTGTTGGATAACACAAATTATCACTTTAATTCTTCATTTTTAGGTAATGTCTTCTAAAATTTTGACCTTGAAAATATCCTCTTCTGTGTCAGTTTTCAATGAAAAAATGACATTGTATAGCGCTATAAAAATAATAGCCGAAAAATATGTAAAATTTGTATATATATGTTTAAAAATTTCGGTTGATTTTTACAAAAAGAAAAGTTAAAATTTGAAAAAAAATAGAGCTACCTGGATCACTTCTAGGCATATTATTGAAGCAAACGAATAACCAGGTTATATTATCACTTTTAACCCGTGCCAGAAACTATTTACATATGGAAGCCGAAAAAGTATATAAAATTTGTATAATTTTTGTATATTAACATACAAAAGGTATATATATACAAAAAAATATATAAATTTTATACATTTTTCGGCTATTATTTTTACAATGGTTATACAGTGTCATTTTCTCATTGAAAACGGGCACAGAGAGGGATATTTTCAGGGTCAAAATTGTAGAAAACATTATCTAAAAATGAAGAATTAAAGTGATAATTTGCGTTATCCAATAAAAGGAGAGGAAACTTCTTGTTTCAGAGTAGAAGATTTGCTTCATGAATCAGAGTTAGGTAACACCGTTAGTTTTTGAACACATTGTGTCAGTGAGACTAAAGATGCTCCACTTTAGCATACTTAAGGGACTAAAGATGCTCATGATTATATTTGAGGGACCAAAATAGACCTACTCTCAAAGATAAGGGACAATATTGACCAAAAACTCATCAAATCTTAAACGAATTAGGATTACTAATCTTGGTTTAAATCCTAAAATATTGTGTCCCAATAAAACTTCTAGAGAATGAGTTTGCGACACTATCTATAAGGGCGTCTGAAATTATTAATCAGACTAAAAGTAGTGAAAGAGAGATAAAAAAAATAACTGAAATTATTAAAAATATTTTGTGATTACCAATTTATCACTAGTCTAATACATACTCGTGCATAGGCAGTCTAATACCTATTCTATGCACTAGTGGTAACCAAATTGTATATACGCGCCAAAAAGAAGGAAAAACAACAACAATGACAACAACAAACCCATTTTGATCCTAACAGGTGGATCTATGGAGGGTAGTCTGTACGCAGACCTTACCTCTACCTAATGCAGGTAGAGAGGCTATTTCCAATACACCCTCGGCTCAGGAAGGACAAGAAGAAGAAGAGGAAAGCAAGGAAGGAAAAAAGATGGAAGAGAAAAGAAAGAGAGAGATAAAGGATAAGTGGTACCAAATAATAGCAACAGGGAATACAATACCTGAGGCGAACAAAGCCACATAACTTAATAAAAATCTAAGAATATGAAGAGACATGCATGCTACTAAGACTATCGGTGAACAACTATAAACTACCCTAAAAATCGTACATTATATTTCTCTGTTTCTGAATCACATTCTGCCTATAGATTTCAACTTTATGAGTTCTGTATTTTATAACGACAACTTCAACTACTAATGACTGAGTTTTAATATGTACATACGTACATATTTGTACATATTTAATGTGTTCAAATTCATTTGCACACGCCTAAATTATTCAACAATAGGTACTAGATAACTTTGTCCACTTGAAGGCTTACACAAACGAAAATCATCCCATGGTTATCGCCCAGATATGTTTTACATGATTGCAGCATTACAAACGACCATGAAAATGAGAAAGATTTTTCAAAAATTAATTTCACACGTATTACCATACATCTATTTACATCTCAGAGCATATGTTGTCAATTACAGAAGTTACAAAGAGACAGACGACTTTCCAAAAAATATTTGCACACATTTTACGACATATAAGTTATTTACATCTCAGCGCACACATATTGACACAGAATTTACCACAACATACACAGACACATAAGAGAAAACAAACGACTCACAGTTAGACAAATTCGAAACGCATAAGAAGCTTCACAGAGTTGTATTTCTCTCCCTTTCGGTCGTGGAGTGAAACTGCTCGGATACCTTGTCTTAGTTCTGAAACAGGTAAACAAGTTTGGCCAGCAAAATCATCTTTTTCAGACATATCATACTCATGAACTTCGACGCGAAGTAGAGCCAATTCAGGAACTGTTAATGGGAACTCAAACTTTTCATCCCAAGTTGGTATCCAATTATCCTCCAGTGTCTTTGTTTTCTTCATTACATTATCAGCCGGAACTCCGGCAATTCCTATCTGCATAGAGTTATACACTTATACCATTCAGATTCTCCTTTTCAACATAACTCAACGTTCAATTCATCAGAAAACGTGAAAGGAAACGGTTTTCTTCAATCTTCTATACCTTAACTTCCAACTCGAAATGTTGTTTTAAGAAAATTAATGCTAAATACCAAAAGATGACAGAATTTGAACCAAGTAATGAAAAAATAGTGGTGAAGTATATTCGTCTACCTTTGCATAGAAATCTGGAGGCGAGTATGCATCAAAGTGTGTGTGTTTGAAATCATAATACCATCCTTCCCCCATAAATACGGTCACCTGCTTAATTCAGGAAGTCTTGGATTATTTGCGTCAACGTGATCAAATCATATGTGATCCAACAAAGTCAAGTATAAAAATACATCCCCTCAATTACCTTCAATGTAGTTTTGACTGGCAAATTTGCTTCAGGATCGAAGATCTGATTGTTAGGACCTGCTTTCAATAGTATATCTGGTTTCTTAACATATCCACAACCACCATTGGATCTGAACATACCATGCATTAACCAAAGTGATCTTCCATAGCCCTGCCACAAAACTTTTATTTATGCATTCTCATGGGAACACTATGATTAAGCAAATTGGAACATATGGTAAATGATAAGCCCAAACAAGTCACTATTCATATGTTAGGTACAGCTAATTGAATCCATCTATATTCCAGAAGCTAACAACCCGATGGTTGCAGGAGAATATGAAGCGGATGCACAGAAAACAATAGCGGAAAGAAGGATCCCGCAATATCAAAGTTTTACATTGAAAAGTTCCACTATTTAACTTGTCGCTATAAATGAGTTAAACTATATTTGCAGAAAAAATTCAATAGAAAGGCTAATTTACTAGTAAGCTGAAGTTACTGAACACATACTTTTGCATGTCTATAAACTTAAGTTCATTACATGTTGAGATAAAAAGTACAACAATATGTTGATATAAAAAGATATTGGAAGCAAATAAAGTTTTATAGCGAAAATCAAGTGTGGCAGAGTGGAACTTAGATAACAAAACCCACCACTCAAGGAGGTGACTTTTTAGCTACTGCATAGTTACACCAACCTTCCAACGCTCCCTTAATTACTGCATAGTTACTCCTCCTCCAAGTCCTTCAGACAAATCATTTAAAATATAATAGATCAGAGGCTTCAATTCAAGCCGCTAAATTATCAGGTTTCGGATATTGGAATCATGGCACATATGCAAGTGACAGCTTCAATAAATTCTAATGTAATGTGTCAGACATCAAATCGATCACAAATCTATACAAGTTCGAGAATTTATATGCATGCTTGGCGATAAGTAACTGGGTTCTCTGAAAGGAATTTATAATTGCTATGTCCTTCACCTTGAGGAAAAAGAACAAAGATTCAACAGTTCACTCATTTCCTCCAAATCAATTGTTACATCATGAAAGGAAAGCCACATGTGAATCTGGTGACCTCTTATCAGCAGTAGTCTAACCAAGATAAGGGTCATTGAGATCAAATTATATTCTTTTTATCTGACGCTGTGGTTTACCAAAATTTAGACTTTCCTACGGACTTTTCTCAAATTCAGTTAAGGCACATTAACTTGCATTACGAAGAGCTACCACTTTTGCTTTTATCTTTTAATTTTAGTTTTTTTGGAGGGTATGAAGAAGGAAGAATAACCTGCATATTGAATGCCACCATTTGAGCTCCATGCGTCCATGCAACAAAAGGATTATAATTGGATGAGTCGAAACGTATGCCCTTTGGGTATATTCTGAGCAAGTTCCGCTGAGTGAACCTGTAACACATCGACATAAAATAAGACAATTTTATTGAAAAGTCATGCATATATGGTATACTACATGTGCATGGCATGAATAAATTGGTAGAAAAGCATACACACTGTCTATTGTAGATCAACTACATGACATGTTATGGCAGGTAATTCTGCTATAAGATTCCAGAATATTAAGTATCATTGAACCTACACACAGGTGCATTTTAGGACTACATATCACGATGATCAAATCGTTTCAAGAAATCTTCTCTCGTTTGATCACATACGAAAAGTATTAATTTTTTTATTCCGCATATCACAACAAAGAATACATCACTAAAATGATGTACCCCTGATTATGAGAATCCCACCCCAACATCCACCAAAAAAGCCACAAAGGAAACGACAGAAAATTGATGCATACATCCACCAGTCTAGGACATTGACAAAGAACAGGGTTACATAACTTACATTGTAGTTAATTTGATGGATGGAGCAAAATAATACCTGATAATTTCTTTTCCATGAGTAATTACAGCCTTTCCAAGTTCTTGCTCGCTCAAGCTAAGTCGTCTTACTTTATCAGGATCAACCCTCAGCCAATCTGACAATCCACCTTTTCCCTTTCCAGCATGAATGGCAATCAAACGCTTGTATTCTGGTGCGACATTTTGCTGCGAGTTGGGATCTCCTTCGTCACTTTCATCATCTTCCTCACCTGCTCCTTCATCAGAATCATCCTGCTTTAAAGAGCGTCAGAATGTGGCGAAAACAAAGTTCGATTTAAGAAGCTGACATACTCAAATAGGTCAAAATAATTGGTAATGCATTTTATTACACCTTATCATTGTATCTGGCTTTAAGGTCTGAAACTTCCCTTCCCCAAGCTTCTGTATCAGGCGACTCTGTTCCTTTCTTCGAGTCTTTTTCCTTAACTTCCTTCGCCTGAAGGTATTCTTTGGGTGGCTTAGTTGATATCAGAACACGTTTTTTCAGAGATTCTGGGGAGGGAAAGTCTTTCAAACATGAATCGGGAGAAAACAGCATGTCTCCAAATGTTTGAGTGATCATCTAGGATTTTTCCACAAAAGCATCATTAGGATCAATAAAGGAGGTATCATATCCAGAATAGGAACATACACACCTCCGCAACTTTTGCCTGAAGATCTGGGGTTAAATGATCTTCAAGTGTTATCACAACAGGATACTCAGATACAGTAAAAGCATGTTCCTTTATAGACCTCAGACATTTGATGAGCGCAACCGGAGTGGTCAATGTTCTGTATGAAAAAAAAAAAAAGGTACACTTACAAACTACAAGAAGAATGGAAAGTACAAGCACAATAGAGAGTTCTCAAAAATGAAAGATCATATGTTTTGGTGACTCAAGAATTCATGAGAGGTATTGTCCAAGAAGTATGACATGCAATTCAAATTCCAATGCTAGTCCAACAAAAACATACACATAGCAAAGCTTAAGAGCTTTCTCCTTTTCCTTTTGTCCTTTAAATCGTAAAAGATCGGTTGTTTATACAGGGGACTGATCTGGTTTGTTAAAAATAAGTTAGTAATCATTGACAACTTCCAATGAATTCCAAAGGACAAAACTGTTGTAATTTGATTACTAGCACAAAAGACAATGAATGTAATAATTTTCTAATAAACATGGAGTTCTGAAGAAAAAGCATACCACACTTCAAGATGTAGTAAGTTTATGGGAAAGTGTAGCACCCTGGTAATACCATAACCTGGAATAATAATGGTATATTTTTTTAACCCAAATTGCAAGTTTATTTCAAGGATAGAAAAAGAATTCAGTAATAACAGAAACAGGATTCCTAAAGCACAAGATTGTTATCACTGGTCATCCAAAAGCTTTAGCCTACTCAAGACATGGACTTCATTATTAGCATATCCATGCCCACTAGAGTCAAGTACTTGGTATAGATCATGGTGTGGCAGTAGCAGCAGTCTTGGTTGGCACACATAGACATGTATGCTAATGAGCGAATGGGTAAAGCTTGTTTTTTGGGCTTCAGTTATATATAACAATTAGCAGTTCAAGAGAAAAAGTAACTTAATTTTTAATTAAGCCATTTTCATGGAAACATCATAATTTGAAAGAACATTTGGCAACTTTTTATTCATCTGGAAGTATGCAAATTCTGAATCAACCAAGAAATTAGGATATTCCAGCATCGGGGGACATACCCTCCATGCAGAACTTCCACATCATCTTTGGCGGAATTTGGCCATATATCCAATTCAATTACTCGTACACCTCGGCCCAGGGCTTGTATTATGGGGACATCACTGCAATCACTACTTAGTTGATTCCCAGTTAGATAAGAATTATGTCCTGTGTATATGAAGTAATGAGACAAAGGCTCATTCATATCATGGTGAATCTGGAAAAAGAAAAGGAGAATTTATTACTGAAAAGAATACATCAAATATGCTGATTTATGAAATGTAACGAAAAGATACTCCAGCTGGATTAGCTATCTTTTACATTCTGTTACTAAGAACATGTCCATACAAGTAGATTCCTTTCCCTAGTAACCTAAAAATAATACAAGGGAGGCTCACTTCCAGTAACAACCTCCACAAGTAAATTTAAAAACTTTTCATATAGATCAATCAACAGGAGAAGCACCTGATAATCAAATCTAATTTAAATACTTCCCATCTAGAATTACAGTAATGTGAGGATTTATTATGAAATTGGCTAGTTTTACATTGGCTGCCAATCTATGGAAACTCTCCTCCTATATCTGGGCTTAGGACCGGCAATGTGAGCAGACTCACACAGGCGGATACCAAACTCGATCCCTCGACACTAAGCTCATCCAGAATTAGAGTGCTTTAGTTAATTCTTTATGCTATAATCCTCTTTAGGACCTTATGACTTGCATCATCTAAGTATGTGTTGATAAAGGCAAATTAAAAGAAAAAGTAAAAAACACAGAACATTTGACATTAGGCGCACTCGGTATGAGCAAAATGTTTTCTTTCGGAAAATATTTTCTGTGAAAAATATTTTACCTTGAAAAATAGTTTTTAGAACAATTTCCAGTGTTGGTCATATAAACTAATGCATAAGGGGGAAGGATTGGGTAAAAGAACAATATAGTTTTGATGACCATGGTTCCAGTCCAGCTTGTGCGCACCTCGACTATTTCATCTATACCTATTACCTCCCACTTAAGCAAATAGGAAGAAATCATCAGGCGTTTATTGTGTTAGAACTTCTAAATATTAAATGTTGACAAAAATGTAAAATAAGTCACAGTAAAACATTATCCAGAAAGGCATTTTCGGCCATATCTGAACACATTATGACGGACAAAATCTCAATCACATAACTGAAAAATCCATATACAAGAGTATAATCAGCAGACAAAAACAAAACAAAAATTGAAGGAAATATTAAAATTCTGTAGCAGAATCTTACCCCGCGTTTAGGATTAATAGGAGGATTAATATCAGCAAAAAGATACTTAAAAAATGCGTCAAGATGAAGACCTCTCCGATGAAAAATATTAAGGATCTTAAGGTCATGAAGATTATTCATAATACCCTGAGCATCCTCTAAACTCGCATTTTCCTCCTTCTGAACCTCAATTAAGAATCGTTGTAGGTTCTCTGCATTCATTACTCCGTTATCGGAATATCTATTGAATAAATTCTTTACATCCGCCGGAGCCTCGGCGGCGACTACCCGGAACCGCCGCCGGAAACAGAAACAGACTCTGTACGTCTGTCTCGACATTGTTTGAAAGAGGAAAACGGAAAACGGAAAACGGAAAACGGAGAGGGATGATTTTTTGAGGCGAGGAGAAATGATTTATGTGATTGTTACAAGTAACGGTTTTTTTGCTTAGGAAGATGGGAAGGTATAAAAGTTTTGGTGGTTATTACGCGTATAAAAGAATTGTGGATTTGTTTATGATATTTTGTTGGAAAAAATAATTTGTTTTAATATATTTCGTTGATTTCCAGGTATGTTGGGACCCACTAGCCTCGTTGGTATTATTTGATTGGGCCACGTTGATAAATCCTTAGAACTAGATTTTGCTAGGGATAATATAATTTTTAAGAGGGGAAACATGATACATGTGTCTCCAGGTGCAAATGTGCATCCTCCCTTGGGAGTTAAAAATTTACTCCACCAGTATATTTATATCAACGGCAAAGAGCCAAATATACCCCATATAAGCGAGTGTGAATTCGATTTATCAATTCGATTTTGACCCTTATCGATAATTACTTATCGATTGTCGATTTGTACATATGCTTATCGTTATCGTTTCAATAAGGTTTCGATTTTTTCGATTTATCGATTTTTGGGACTTATCGATTCGGTTATCGATTACACCAATAAGAAAATTTGTGGGATTTCACGAAAAATATATCACTATAAACACGCCTAACTAATATGGACAAAAAGAAACTAAAATAAGACGAACACCGTTTATAACATAAAAATTGTGTCAACAAGCACATGCAACAAAACTAAAGTAAAGGATCAAATGTATGCCACCAACACTCCAACGGTATAAAAAAATACATCATCACGGCTAATTCTATTTTTCATTAATTTGAACTTCATTTTCTTGAGCTTTAAATATGATCATTCCTTAAATGTGGTAGATGAAATAATAGGGTTGGAGACTTAGGGTAAAGGAAAGGGTATTATAGAATAAGGGTAAAAAAATTTATCTTTTTAGTATATCTTATCGATTTATCGATAAACCGATAACCGAAGAGGACAAAATCGAAATCGATAACTCGATAAGGAAAATTTCGAAATCGAAATCGATAAATCGATAAACCGATAACAAATAATCGATTCGATTTATCAATAAACCGATTCGAATGCACACCCCTAAGAAAATATTTAAATATTTTCTTCGTTATACTTTGGTTCCAAATAAATTATTATCGTAACATTATTAGTTCAAATATACCTTTCTTTTATTAAAGTTATCCAAGGTGGACATCTAATTCTACGTGACACTGATATTTGAAGAGGTGGATGTCACACGAAATGCCACCTTAGTGTACCTAATTCATATGTAAAAGACTAAATTCGAAATACATTATTTTTTATGGTAGTGGTAATGGTGGTAATAGTGGTGGAGGAGAAGAAAGTTTTAGTGGTAGAAAAAAAAAAGTAGATGGTAGGGGTAAAATGAGTTAGGAACGCTGAGGTCAAATGTCAGTATCACGTAGGATTGGATGCCCATTTTGGATAAATTTTAACGAAAAAAGAGTATATTTGAACCAATAGTATAATGACATGGATATGTTTGGACTGACCTATAACGAGAGGTACATTTAAACCTTTTTCTAATAGTACATGAGTATATTTGGTCCTTTTTCGTTATATCAATCCAATAATTGTATGACATATGTCTTCACATACATAGGTATCACTAAATCATACGTAATTAATACTCATTACTTTATTATTTAACTATGATAAATTAGTACTCCATCTATTTCAAAAAGATTGACAATATTTCCTTAATACCCTCGTCCAAAATGATTGACACCTTTCAATATTTCTTAAATATGAAGCATTTACTGCCACACAAATGAAATGACAAAGTTCACACCACAAGTTTCAAAAGTTTTAGTCACACAAATATTATGACAGGTTTCAAAAGTTTTACAATCATACAAATGTTATATCTTATTTAAGATGACATACCTTAAAAGTCTTCCCCTCGTTATTAAAGTTTGTGCCAAATTAAAAAAGTAAGACAATCTTTTTGAAATGGAGGAAGTATGATTTAGTAAAAACATCCAAAGAGAATAAGTTTTTACCGCATTTGGAACCTCCCATTGGATGAGGATTTCATACAAAATAAATTAGGGTTTTTTTACTTTTAATTCGTACCAGAAACTATTTATATTCTCTAATCGAAAAAGTGTATAAAATTTATATAATTTTTGTGTATAATATACATAATATGTGTGTATATATATATATATACCAAAAATATATATTTTTCGATAATTATTTTGAGAGCGGGTATATAGTATTATTTTTTCAATAAATTATTGGATGAGGGCTTCTTAATTATTTGGATTAAATGCATGTATCTGATCATTTAGTTTACCATGATTAAATGATGATTAATGTAGAAATGTTGGTTACGAATAAGTATGAGCGTGTTCATCTGCCACTTCCACAACCGGAAGAAGAAGAAGAAGTAGAGCCATCTGTTTATTTTAAAACGGTAGTAGTATTTAACTTTCCTAATTAGTTTCAAATAACTTACATTACATGGATTTGAATCGTTATTTTCCTTTTATATTACTTACAAATTACAACGTGCCAAATAAGTATATAGTATGTAAAAAAAATTAAAAAAAAAAGGCAGCACATATATATCTAGGATGTAACATGTTTGAGTTGTTTTATTTTATTTGCTTACACCAAAAGTCCTCCATATTTTAAATGTAAATTTAATAATGTTTGACACACTGTCTTGCAAGCTTGTGGATCTACATCCTATTAGGTGACTAGTCATGACTCAACCACTATATGTGCATTAGGTAGGGGTAGCAAACGGGCGGATCGGATCGATATGAGTGTGTCGAAAATGGTAATTAAAAAAACGGATAAATAATTCGACCCGACTCATATTTAATATGGATAAAAAATAGATTACCCGGTGGATAATATGGATATTCATATTATCCATGCCTACTTGAATATGATCACTTTTAGGAGAATTTCTAGTCTCCCAAACTTGAGGAACCCCCAATTTGAGGCTTCACAAATGTAAAAGTTAAACCCATTAATTATCCATTAGTTATCAATTTTCTAAGTGGATAATATTATTCTTATTCATATTCGGGAGATTTGCATCTATACCCGCTTTTTGGGTCACGTTTTAACTTGTGCCCGCTTTGGAAAAAAAATTGCAAACGTACCCGCTTTTTTGTATAACTTCAGCATACGGGGCTGAAGTACCAAAGGCAATCACGCAAAACTTCAGCATTCTAGTAGACGGGTCTGAAGTAGCAAGTGTGCTGAAGTTTTTGTTTGTAATTGCTGAAGTTTTGTTCTCTATTTGCTGAAGTTTTTATTTGTAATTGCTAAACTTAAGCATAGTAGGTGAAGTTTAATTCTCTATTTGCTGAAGTTTTTGTTTGTAATTGCACTAAATAAGCTGAAGTTTTTTGTCCTGGATTCATTAATTTTGTCATTAAGCTTTTTCAAAAACTTCATCAGAAGATGCTAAAGTTATTTAGTTCATTTATAAAAACTTCAGCACCAAAATAAGTTGAAGTTTTTTTGTCCTGGATAAGCTTTTTCAAAAATTTCAGCAGAAATACTGAAGTTATTTAGTTCATTTGTAAAAACTTCAGCACTATATAAGCTGAAGTTTTTGAAAAAGCTTTCTAACATACTAGCCAGATTGAAACACTAGTAACTCATGGTTCAATTTTCTTAACACAGAATTATTATAGTGTATGTACCCTGCTGGTGCAGAAGCAATATTGTAAAAACAAATAAAGGATGAGCAACTGAGAAAGGGAAAGATNGGAGGAGGAGGAGAAATGGGGCTGAAGTTATTTAAAAAGTAAGTACAAGTTAAAAAAAAATTAAAAAAATGGGTATAGGTTAAATGGGGCGACCAAATAGGGCGCCCCGAGCAATGTTTACTCCATATTCGACCCATTTTTTTAAAAAAATCATTATCCAACCTATTTTTTAATGGATAATTGTTTTCTTCTAACCATTTTGCCACCTCTATATATATATATATATATA